GATATAGAATCATTAATTACGTATACAAACCTTATAAAAAACGTATCATTTCCTTATTTCGATTTCTTATAGGGTAGCTCAGTGTTATCATGAGACATTTTTGGAACATGGCCTGGAACATTAGGACTTAATGTAAGACATTTTGGGACATAGTGTGGGACAGTCTCAAAATGTTTGGGACATCGAAAATATACATTACTGCAGTAGCTATATTTGAAGATGTATGTATTGATTCAAAAAAAGTCTAGGAGAAGATTGCTTATTATTTCACTGAAGGACTGCACAGAAATATTAGTAGTATGTATGTCTTACAGAGTTTTTTCAACTGTCCGAAATTGATAAGAAAAACTTAAATTATATCATATTCTTTATCTGTTTATATGCTTATGAATGGTGTAGCATATATACAGAAATTGTTAACTAATTGACTGATCGCAATTTTATTATCTTTATTTAACAGTCCCTTCAAAACATTCTCATAGGATTCAAAAAGAATGGGATATGCTATTTCTTAGCAAGTAGAATCCCCTCTCAAGTAGTGAGACAAAATGTATATTTTTTTCAGACTTCTAGATCATATTTAGACTCGATATACCTCTTTACCCATAATTTCCTTTCATAAATGCTGGAATATATTTCTGGTTTTATATTTATATCACTATATCTTGTATGAGAAGAGATCCAATCAACAAGAGTAATAATTTTCCTATCCTTAGCAGAAATAATATCCTTCAGATGCTGGCATTTATTCTCTAAAATATTAATAAACTTATCCACTGATGCAATAGCTTCCTTCGTATCAAGAATTATACTTTGAAAAAAGCTACTTAATTTGATAATTGGGTGACTTTTTCACCATTCTCTTCCAAAGACCTAGTCATAGCTATTTCATGAGATTTATACTACTCTTGCAAATCGAGAAGCTCTTCAATCCTTTTTTCCAATACCTGCTTTGATATACATAATTTCTCATTTTCTTGCCTTAACAAAGTTTTATTCACTAGTAATAAACTCAGTCTCTTTAGGTCGCTTCATCTTTGTATGCTCCTTTTTCTTAATATAATTTTCAACTGCTTTATTTAACAAATCTTTCACTTCAGGATGAATACTACTTGCCTGTTCTATGGTACATAACACCTATACTCATCAACAAATTTAGACAAGTCTGAAATTTAAAAATGCTAAATTTCACGTGACATATCACGTGTAATAAATTTGATTGGATAAATATCCAATTTTATTAAAAAAAAAGACTAATGACTGAAACAGAAAAACTTATTTATCTAATTTATTTAACTTCTCTAAGATTCTATCTGAAATCCTTCTGTGAGATTTGTATTTCTTTACCGCATACTCTACCAATTTTCCTTTAATACCATTCCTATAAAGATCCATATAACGCCAACATTTTCTTGAAAACTTCCTAATAGTTATTAAAGTTACAGAGTCGAGACTTTCAGGGACTATTTTTTGCAATCCTTCCCATGAATAATCACAATTTTCCCGTGAATATTTTTTGGCAACACCCCAGTATCTCTCAATAAAGTTTAATTCACAGTGAAATTTAGGAAAAAAGATACACTTATGTTCTGCATTTTCAATTAATTCCTTAATAGCACCTTTTTGAGCAAGAAAATCGGGCTCCAAGGATATTACTTGACGTGCACAACAGGAAGTTCTTGAAATGTCTTGGTCCTTCTCTTTATATTTATTGTATTCTAATACTAATCCTCCAAGTGGCCATTTTTCACGTTCTATTAATACCTGTTTAATTCCTTTAGGTCTACCACAGAGTTTTTCATCATGATATGTCACTGGAAAAAACATTGATTGTAATTGATTGTTTGGCCCAAAGTAAGTATTTATCATATCATAGGTGCAACTGTTCACAATCAAAAATCACGTGAGTATTCTTAGGGCATTCTCAAGAACCTAATGGAGAAATAATTTTATTAGTGGAAATTAGTTTAATCGCTTATCATTTCAATGAAAAAACTTTTTGGCTGCATACCACCTTTTTTTTACATAGAACTACGATGATTGGCTAAAATTTGTCATTGATAGAGTATAAATTGAGATTGTTCAAGCTCTTTGATAACTTTTCGCATTTTTACATTATGGATTAACACAAACGAATTATCTTCCTACTTTTTATAAGACTTTCATAGCAAGTAAGAATCACTGAGAAAATCAAATAAAAAGAATAACTGATGTGTCAGAAATAATGGAATATGTTTTATCTAAAGTATCAGAAGCAATAGGAGACAGGTTGGAAGTAGATTCTAATATAATAGGTGATAAATTTTCTTGACTGTTATTTGTTTGTATAAACAGGAGATCTTAAAAGAGATATCTTAAAAAAATCACTAGTTAAACTTTATTCTTATATAAATTCAGAGGTAATAATATAAAATATTTTATTACTTCTTCATATTTGGTATTTGCTTTGTTTAAGGTTAGAGAGTTCATAAAAGAATTGAGTAGTTGTTGTTGTTGCAAAAATATTTGAAAATTAGTAAAATCCGTAAAAGGAGAAATGGGAGTAACTAGAATTGCTTGGGCAGTTGCTTGGGCAGACATTTGTCGAGTAACTACTTTTTTTTATTTATTATTATTTTTTGAAAAAATGATAATTCAATAATGTTGAAATGATAGAGGAATAAGGTTGCTTGTCTAAACTCATTTTGGATTTGGCAAAACAGTTAAACCTTTAGTTTCGCTAAATTTTTACTAAGTGTTTGATATAGTTTCGCCATTTTTATAAGCTTTGATATAGTT